CCCTTCTTTGGGATTGGGATCTAGACTGATCTTTTCCAGCCCTCTGGCCACTGTTGAGTTTTCCAAACTTGCAGGCATATTGAATGTAGCACATTAACAGCACCATGTTTTAAGATTTTAAATAGTTCAACTGGAATGCCATCACCTCCACTGGCCTTGTTGTTAGCCAGGCTTTCTAAGGCCCACTTGACTTCACTCTCCAGGATGTGTGGCTCAAGGTCAGCAACCATACTATCTGGGTTGTCCGGGACATCCAAATCTTTCTGTTATAATTCCTCTGTGTATTCTTGCCACTTCTTCTTGATATATTCTGCTTCTGTTTTGGTAATAGAGGCTTGCAAAAAGATCAATTAAATATGCTGTTTAATTTAAAATGAAATTGACTGGGGAGGAATATTAACCTGTTGAACCTTGTTACCCTATTTTCTTGGGATATGTGTCTCTATCTGTGTTTGGAGCCAGCACATGAATGACTGACAACAATTTATTTCAAGTGCAAATGACACCTTTTTCTGTGATGCCCCTTGCTGTGTTCTCTCATGAAACAGGCTGCACTTGGTCTGATAGCGTAGGCCTAGAAACGAATACATTTGCTAAAATGATCAGGAGTACAGTCAGTAGAAATTACTTTGGGGGGAAGCCTCTGAAATTGACTTCTGAGTTATATGAGGGAGGAAAAACAAATCAAGGGGATTACAGCCCTTCTGGAAAAAAGGTGAGAAAATGATAGTTTAACAGAAAACTGACTATTGTTCTAGAAGAGAGTAGAGTAGTGAGAGGTTAGTTGGCCATAGGCTATAGAAGCTGAATGGTGGTACATTTGTGTATCTAAGTGAGGCAGGAGAATAGGAAAAGGAGGGATACTGAAGGTGTAGATGTTGGAAAGAGAACAGGCAAAAATATGGCATTAGACTTAAACTTTCTGTTGCTGTCTTTGAAACACAAGCTAAGAAGAGCAGAGATTGTTAGTGCACATGTAAACCAAAAAGGAGAACAAGGAAAAGGAGCTTTTTCTTTAACCATGACAAGGCTTTATTAAGCAGAGTCCAGTGAAAGTGGGCCTACAGAAGATGGCACTGAAAGCCAAGATCCTCTTCTGGTATCTTTCAGAGTTCAGCAGTGCAACAGTTCAGCAACTGTACTCTGTAATAAATTCCGGGAACAGCTTATTGAACATGGTTTATCCTTGGAAACCAGCCATTGTGTATTGCTGAAGTTTGCAGCTGAAGTCACATGCGAAAATTAATTGAAGAACCTATCTTGGAAAAACCCATTGCATTGAAGGAATCCATTACAACAGTTGAAAAATACAACCAACCAAAGTCATCCTTGTCATGGACTCTTGGTCACCACAGAGAGGATCCACTTAGCACTCAGTCACATTACCCTTGTGCTACCTGGTGTGGGTGCTGGCCAGGTGGGTCAGTGCACCAGTGATTGGGAAAGCTTCCTGTGAACCACTTCCCCCAGTGTCCTATGAGGCACTTGTTCCTTGGTGCTTCAGGGAGAACAAAAGAAGCAGGTTGTTGCTTCTGGATGCAAATCAACCCTATAAGGTAGAAACTTAAAACCCCACAAATACATTCAAAACCTCCAAGTGCATAAGGCACATTCAGTCCCATCCAGTTGTGTAAATAACAACACAGTTGTACAATTTTATGTTAATTGAAGAAAAAAAAATAGTAAACTATAAAGGTTGATCAAAAAGCTTAATCAAGCAAAATCATGAAGCAGTTCTTTTTTACAGAAAAATAAAAAGCAACTTCAGAGTTTCAGGCAATTGGGACTCATTCCCACAGAAAACAATAAAGCTACAGTATTTAATTCTAGTTTTATAATGTAACATAGTTCAAAGGCATAAGCAAAAGTCAACATGATGATGGTTACATATTGAAGCAAGCATGAAGAAATATTTTACTACAACCCAGCTGCTGCTCTAACTCATTGTTTCATCTGACCCTATATCCCATAATCCCCTCATTAATTGGTTTCTGCTGCATGAGCAGCTCCCAGGACTTCCACAGGTGTAAACATCCACATGTCATGAGAAGCCAGACACAGGCTTCTTAGAAAATATTCCCCAGGCCATAGACAGGCATTTTGGATGTCTTGGCCCAATCACCCAAACATACCTTCCCAATTGGCTCAACTCAAGCTGATTTTATTTTAAAAAAACAGGGAAGATGATTAACCTCATTTCTGCTGGTTTCATCACAATCTTGAAATGATAATTTCCTGGGAGACATAAATGAAACAAAGTAAGATAAAGAGATGGCTCGATGTGAGCTGAATTTTACAATAGTTCTCACAAAGGACACTGGAAATCTCAGAGGTTCTCCGTGTGGTAGTATTTGTTTATTATCCTTATTTACTGTATTTACTTTACAGTATTTATATAAACAAATGCGGAATTATAGAATAATTGAGATAGAAGGGGCCTATAAGGCCATTGAATCTGATCCCCTGCTCAGTGCAGGAATCCAAATCAAAGTAGATCTGACAGATGTTTGTCTAATTTTCTCTTGAATGCCTTCAAGCATTCAAGCTCTCACCACCTCCCAAAGTAATTGGTTCCATTGTTGTACTGCTCTAACAGTTAAGACTTTTTCCCCCTGATATTCAGTTGAAATCTGGCTTCGTGTAACTTGAGCCCATTATTATGTGTCCTGCACTCTGGGATGATCAAGAACAGATCTTGCTTCTCTTTTGTATGACTATCTTGCAAGTATTCTTTTCTCAAGGCTGAGCATGCCCAGTGTTTCAGTCTTTCTTCATAGAGCTTTGTGTCCAGTTCCCTGATCATTCTTGTTGCCCACCCCCACCCCCAAACTTGTTCCAGTTTGTCAGCATCCTTCTTAAAGTATGGTGCCCAGAACTGAACATGGTACAGTAGATGGAAGGTTGCTGCAGGAAGACAGAGCAAAGATAGAGATTAGATGGGAGACTTCAAGTGCATTTTATCCTGGCTTGCTATATCTCGTCACCCAAACTGTTCAAATGAAATGGAGCATGAAGTGCAAAATGGAGACAGCAGATACATTCTAGCAGCAAAGCAACACTCATAGCTTTCTCGCAATATGAGAAATCAAAATTTGTTTATTCATTGCTAACAAATTGTTCCATTCCTTTGCTATGATGTCATCCAAGATATGGAAATGAAACATATGCAGTCCTCCTAGTTTTATTCTTTCTCTTTAAAAAAGCAGCACATTAATCTTTTTTCTTAAGACTACCCTCTTTTTATGAGTCCTTCCTTTTGCCTGAAAAAAAATCTGCCACTCATGTTCAGAAATTTAGAATGAATACCACCAGCCTCCACAGTGACTTAACTGCAATATTTGAGTGCTAACTAGTGTGTTACATCAATCCTTTTCCATAGCAAAATTACATATTTAGTGGGAAAATACAAAATACTTGTCTGCCTACTTAAGCACTATGGCTCCTGTAAGGCAACAAGAAAGAAGTTTGTATTGGGAATGTGAACTGAAACCTATGGAACGTTGAGTGTTTATACTATTTACCTCTAAAAGTAAGTGTATTTTGTTCAGCATAAAAACTAGCCTTTTCTGATGATATTCTGATGTTTTCTCTAGATGAGTGAAAATGATTGCAGGGATCCACTAATGTACTGGACAATCCATGGACTCTGGTAAGATTTGAACTCTGAAATAATCATTTTTAGTTTATTTCATTTCCAGCCCACCTTTGTGTCAACGTAGAGACAAAAGGCAGCTTACAAAATGATTTTTTTTAAAAAAAAATAAAACTAAGACACAGGAAGGTATAATATTAAAAAGCAGTTATAATAAAATTATATATGTAAGTATATTAATGCTAGAAATTTGCTAAATCAAAAACACTTTGTAAAAACATACGAGAAAGCAATAAAACTTAGAGCATCACCCTCCCGTAAAATTCCTCTGTCAATGTCTGTTCAGTTGCTGAAAGCCTGCCTAAAAGCCTGCCTAAAAGCAAAAATCCTTGTTTTCTAGATGCAGGGAGGGCCCTACCTAGCTTCTATGGCAGGAGTCTCCAAACTTTTGAGTGTGAGGGCCACATCATATATTTTCCGCATTTTGAGGGCCGAAGGAATGCATGCACCACCACCCATGGACTTCTGCCTCCCAGCCCGGATGCCCACCTGGATGCACACACGCATGCCCTACTGCCCCCCATCCCTGCACACACACATGCTGGCATGCCCCCATTCCCCCCCCCCATGTGCAGGGGTTGGATAAAATGGCAAGGTGGGCCGTAGTTTGGAGACCGCCTGGATGCACACACGCATGCCCCACTGCCCCCCCATGCCTGCACACACACACACACTGGCATGCCCCCATTCCCCCCCATGTGCAGAGGTTGGATAAAATGGCAAGGTGGGCCGTGGTTTGGAGACCCCTGTTCTATGGGAAGGCATTGCACAATCTGGATGCAGTCAGTGGAAAGGCCCTGTCTTGTATTCTCACCAGAACATGCCTAAATTAGCAGTAGAGAAGAAATCATAAGATCTGAATAAACAGAGCTGCTTCAGTCCCATCTCTTCTAATCCCAATATCCTTATATTGTCAGGAAAAGTCTGAATAGTAACTCTAAACTTGTCCAGATGGCTGTTGTTAGCACTTTTTGTTCATCTCATCTCCTGCTTCATTTGTGTCAGAAGTAGTCCAGTGATTCTTCAGAAGTAGAAGGATCAGCTGACAGAGTACTCTTGTTGTCGAGGATGCCCAAATGTGTCCAAAGTCCTCACAGTCTTCACAGAAGCTCCTTCCATGTTCTTCATCTCTTCTCCCAGAACATGGGGAGGTTGCCTGAACAGGGTTTAATACTGCAGTGAAATAAGATGAGAAAGTTGACAATCAAGAAGCGGTCACTCATTGTGTAACATACTGTGGACTACCATTATGTCACTTCCATGGGGTAGCCCTCTTAGCTTGTAACTTAATAACAAAGTGTTGTGTGGCATCTTAGGTCTGTCTAATTTATTTCAGCATGCATTTTTGTAGACATGCAGCCCCTACATCTGAGGAAGACAGCTTCATTTTCCACAGAATTGCACTCTGATAAATTCCCAAAACAGCTTATTGAATATGGTTTATTCCTTCACCCCATGAAGACATACAGGAAAGCATATGGTCACAGAGTCTTCTTTGTTATCATTTCTGTTTATTAATCATATTTATATCCCAATTTTCTTCAAGTGAGCTCACGGTAACACATGGCACTCCTTCAGCATAGTGCTATATTCCTTTATTACATGCCCATGTTGCTTTTTTGTTTTGAGGCCCAACTGGAGACATTTGTTTCTTCATTTTAAAGCCCTAAATGGTTTGGATCTTCAGTAAAGAATTTGGTTGCCTTAAAGATAATTTTCTCTGATTTGCTTCTTCTCATGCTCTCTGATTAGCAACTGGAGTCCTATTCTGAGTTCACTTGCCAGTCTGTGATAAGGATAAATGGGAGAGGCAGGGCCTTTTAAGGTGTGGCTTAACTGACATTATGTTATGTCCTGCCTGTCAGTTCCAAGTCCCCTCCAATGCTGGAAAGCATGGGTATAGAAATCTTGTATGTATCATAGTTTCTGGTTCCCTTTAATGGCTGGTTTTGGTAATACACCTTGGGAACACAAATTATTTAATATTTTCAGGCAGCAAAGTGAAACCACAGGTACTGATCTCATGGATACAGAAGACCTACTGTAGCTCCAAATACATTTAAATATGAATTTAATAGTTCTGAATATCTGTAATAATAGTGCTGTCCTCTGAAGATGCCAGCCACAAAGACTGGTGAAACGTTCGGAAGAACAACCTTCAGAACATGGCCAAAGATCCCGAAAAACCCTCAACAACCATTAGATCCCGGCTGTGAAAGCCTTCGCGAATAGATCTGTAATAATAATTACTCATATTCAGAGTTCCAATTACACCTATAGATTACAAAACAAAAGGCTAGATTTCTGCTTATTAGAGGAAGAACTGAAAGTGAAACCTATATCTTAAGTATCCTAGAGCAAGGGTCCCCAACCCATGGTCTTGGAAGGACCAGCCTGCGGAGACAGATCTCTATCCCCCTCCACGCATGTCCGTACACACATACGCCCCCATACATGCACCAATGCACACATGCTCTGCCCACGTCACAGAGACGCATACACGCCCCACCCACACACAGATGCATGCACGGGCCCCCCACATGCACACACAGATGCCCCACCCCTGCCCACCGTCACAGAGACGCATGCACGCCCCTACCAAGCACGGGTGCATGCACGGGGGCCCCCGCATGCACACACAGATGCCCCACCCATACATGCATGGATGCACGGACGCCCTGCCCACACATGCATTGACAATGACACCCCCACCCTCACCCGCTGAACTGGTCCATGGACAAAGGTTGGGGACCACTGTCCTAGAGTGATTTCTGGAAAAATGAAACTTAAAGGCTGTCCTAGAGTGATTTCTGGGAAAATGAAACTTAAAGACGCCATGAGGCCTTGGGTAGTTGGAGCAGAGAACACAGTGTCTCCTGATTGAGGTTGCCATGGATTTCTCAAGGGAGAGGGGCTGGAGTGAGAGCAAAACCTGTAAATGATGTCTGTCTGCATCAATGATATCTAGAAGCAGGCACAGACATCAGAAGTTTGTTATTTCCAATTGAAAGGTGCACATGGCTGCTTATAAATCCCATGAGTGTTTGCTGGACATGGCTGCTTATAAATCCCGTGAGTGTTTGCTGTTTAGATTTGCTCTGGTACACACCTGCACTGCAACAGTTTTCTCTGTATCCTTTTCTGAACCCTCAATTTACATTCTCTATATCTCATTATATATTGTTTACTTATAAGGAAAAAGATTTAGGATGAGTAGAGTCATACATTTAATATGCTATAAATCAACAGGGAAATATATTAGGTTTAGGCCCTCTTAGGGTATATCAGGCACGGGGATAAAATTTTGTTATAAAGACAGATATATTAAATTAATAGTTTTTGTGTCTGTGAATGCATGTTCATTTTTCATTGGAAGAGTTTGTGTTCTACTTTAGCCTTCTGTGAATGCATGTTCAATTTCCATTGGAAGAGTTTGTGTTCTACTTTAGCCGAAACAGATACATTTCTTTGGGTAGAGTCTGCAGGCAGGATAAGAAGTATTTTGTATACTGCTTGCAGGGTATGTTCTAAATTGTACTCAGTTAGACCTTTTGTTCTTGTTTTTTTATAGGCCAGATAAAGCAGATGAGTGTAATAGAACTTGGCACTTCAATATATCTGAGATCAAGGTATGAATCAAAATGAAGGTTCTGAACAAGTTTATGTTTGATTAGCACAGTTCCCTCATATTAATCTGAAGGTAAACCTTACATAAGATAAATACTATTTCCTCTGTCTTGTTGCATACCAAACGTTTGAAATGTAAAAACACCTGATTTTTTTTTCTTTAAAGAGTATATACTTCAGTGAAATCTCCAGGGATAGCACATAATGATACAACATTATATCCTTGTATATTTAAAATTTCCCAGTCAGGTATCAAGTGAAAAGATAATTCATGAAGAGCTATTATTAGAATAGGTGGTAATGTGCAGATTAAAGATAAATATTCTGATATCGGATAAGGCTGCTGTCAATGCTCTCCAAAGTTCTGTAAAGGCCTTTCAACATCAGTGTGATGTCTTAAGGCACATGGGATAGTCTAGACATTATGTGTTATTTCTAGTGCCTAAAAAATTAATCATCGTCATCTTAGAAATGCAGGGCTGGAAGGGTCACTCACTGAGTCCAGCCCCTGTCAAGGAGGCACAGTGGGGGGAGTCAAACACCCTGCCTCTACCTCAATGACTAGATGTTGTTGTTTAGTCGTGTCTGTCTCTTTGTGACCCCATGGACCAGAGCACACCAGGCCCTCCTGCCTTCCACTGCCACTTGGAGTTTGGTCAGATTCATGTTGGTAGCTTCGATTACAGTGTCCAAACATCTCGTCCTCTGCCGCCCCCTTCTCCTCTTGCCTCCACATTTTCCCAACATCAGGGTCTTTTCCAGGGAGTCTTATCTTCTCATGAGATGGCCAAATAATTGGCGCCTCAGTTTCAGGATCTGTCAGGATCTGTCCTTCCAGTGAGCACTCAGGGTTGATTTCCTTCAAAATGGATAGGTTTGTTCTCTTTACAGTCCAAGGGACTCTCAAATATTTCCTCCAGCACCACAATTCAAAAGCATCAATTCTTTGCCGGTCAGCTTTCTTTATGGTCCAGCTCTCACTTCCATACATCGCTACTGGAAAAACCTTAGCTTTGACTTTGCGGACTTTTGTCGGCAAGGTGATGTCTCTGCTTTTTAAGATGCTCTCTAGGTTTGTCATCGCTTTCCTCCCAAGAAGCAGGTGTCTTTTAATTTCGTGGCTGCTGTCACCATCTGCAGTGCTCATGGAGCCCAAGAAAGTGAAATCTTTCCCATATCTTCCCCTTCTATCTGAAAATACCTGTTAGCTCACCCACTACTTTTTTCACCTAGTGCACAATGATGAAAATACAGACAAAAAGATCAAACATATTGTACTAAACCAGTTAAATTCAGAACACATTCTCGCTTACTTGTGAGGACAGGCAGTCTCAAAGTTTACTATAGAGTCCATCTCATTTTAGGTTTTATAGTCATAAAAAGCTCCCTCATTTGTGTCTAGAAGAGAATAAAGGCAGTACATTGGAGTGTTACCATGTGCTTTGAGTGATCTATGCTTATCAAGTGATAACTGCCATCTCTCTTCCTAAATGAACCTATGAACAAGATAAAAAAACCCAAATCTTTCTAAGAATACAATAGCACAATGAGGGGAATGTGAACTCACTGTCATTCTTGCTGTGAAGTTCCACCAGGGGATTTGGCTTTCTTATATTTAAGTGGCCACACATTTTTTCAGGAAAAGCCTTGATGTTGTATTTGAAGCACCTGTAATTAAAAGGAACTATGTTAGAAAGGCTTTTCCTTCCTCTTTGACTCACCTCCTCATCTTATCTTGCCCACCGGGATAGCTTGTTAAACTGTAAATAAATAAACAGAAGCTCTGCCCACACAGGAGAATCTGTTTGTTTTTTTTTAAAAAAATACCCCTGTCTTGTGAGAGAGGCTTTGCTGTGACAAGTGAGTGCTGGCGCTGCTTTTGTGCGTGCGCTCATGCTTGCCTCGCTTTGCCAAAGCATTCCTGTGTGTGTCTGTGCTCAGCTGGTCTTTCCTTTTAGCAATCACAGAGTTGAACAAAAGTGAAAGGATTTGACTGTTTTAAAAGTAGAAGGATCTCTGGCGGGAAGTTTGATGGGTGGAGAGGAAAAACTACAGATTGGAGATGTGGGACTGCAGGCTAATTAATATTTCCTGGTGGGTCATGTGATCAGTGGAATCGATGTGAATCAGCCTTCTCCAAACTGTGGGAGTTTGTCTTTCCCACATTTTCCCCCTATGTAGTCAGGCTCTAAAATTGCCTTCTAAAATGGTTTTATTTTTTGAGCATGTGACCATGAATGCTTTAGGAAAATTTGAGTGTCATTTCAGATTTTTTGCTGCATTGTTTCCCATGCAGACAGGTTGCTTCCTTCATTTATCATGTCTGGTTTTTGACTATCCAATGTATTCCACCACTTCAAAAAATTTTTCTGGCTGATAGAAAAACATTATATGACTTGCCACCTTTGGTCACATCAGTGGACAAGGCAAAATGTATAATGCTGCTGTGTTTTTAAAAAACCTTTCAGCATCGCTAGAGAGGCATGGATCACAGGTGCTGCTTTACCATGGGGGATGCTTATACCTAGCACAAAATTATTATGCAAAGAGTTTTCTCTCCAAAATAGGGGGAAAGTGAAATTGCCAGGTTTGCTCCCTACGCTTTAGAAGTCACAGGCAGAGCTGGGCAGCACAGTGCTATAGCCTTCATGCTTTTTTAAAAGGTCTCTCTGTTTTTGTTTGTTTTTTTTAATTGCTAGGATATCTTAGGAGACATGGAACATTACTGGCCAGATGTGTTACATCCAAATCGCACCAAATTCTGGTGAGTTGTGCAACTTTTAAATGTGTTGGTAACTGTAGCTACCAACAGGAGTTGTGTGGAGTGAAATATAGAACAGTGTCTAGAAATGGTTCTGCTTCTCTTTGAAGTTGAAGTTAAAACTTTTGTGTTTATGTTTGTGGAGTGGCACTTTAAATCCCATGAAGGAATCTGTGTGGCAGATATAAGAACATAAGAACAGCCCTGCTGGATCAGGCCGAGGGCTCATCTAGTCCAGCTCCCTGTATCTCACAGTGGCCCCACCAGATGGCTCTGGGAGCACATGAAACAACTAGATACCTGTCTCCTGATACCCTTCCCCTGCATCTGGCATTTGGAGGTACCTTCCTTCTAAGCCTGGAGATTGTCCATCTCCATCATGATGGAGTGCTAATGCCTTTCATCACTGGCATTCACAGGCAGAATTTTATGCTTCTGGAACCTTAAATATTATGTTTGGGGGCAATTTTGTTTTACTTCTTGTATAGCATCACATACATTTACTTCTCAGAGGAAGCCATGTTCCACAAGTGTGGTCTCTCTTTTTCTTCTTCATTTCAAATTTTAAAGGTGATAATTATAAATTCATAGTTGTGCATGACTTAAAAACACATAAATAGACTTTTATAGCTATCCAATACAGTTAGGACCCTCAGTGAGACTGTCACTGGATGTTACCACCATCAAAGTCCAATTGACCTACATCTCACCACTTTACTTTCATTGTGAGAATGGCCCTCAGTCATTCCATCTGAGACTGAACAGAACCCTAGGCCCAAACCAGACCCTGCAAAAGACAAATTATAACAATATAATTATGTATTACCATATAATAACAGAGCACAGAATGACATCTGATATATCATCACTGTGCTCAAAATGTTCTTTGTTCTGAGCAAGCAGAAGCCAGTGAAGTTGGGTGGGCCTGAGGTAGGTGAACGCCACGATGTTACATTATGCTACGTGTTTCTGTTTTACCAATGTTATTCAGAAGTTGTGAGTTGGAAGCTGTCAGACATACTGTATACTACAATGGCAATTTTGGGCCACAGCTGTAACACAGCACAACAATTTCGTCTGTATATATTGTTTTCGGTGCCCAAGTCTGAAACTACTGTGTTACAGCACAGCTATAAAGCATGGTCACAGTTGAAAATACAGTATCAAGGACTGAGAAGTAGATAATGCAGTTTTTTTTAATAAGCTCTTATCTCCCTAATGCCTTGTGAATATTTCTGGGATGCACTCCTTTCAAAGTCGATACATAGAGTGTTCACCCGTCTTCCCTCCATTTTATAGCACAGTTCTTGTTTTTCTAACTCTGGAACCTTGAAAGTCAACACATAGTTTCAGTGCTGATGTTGCTTGCTGAAAGAAAATCTCTAGAAATTAGCATTTCTCATTTTGTGACACAGTCAAGCTGATGACACCATCCTTGCTATGTGACAAATAAAAATGCCCTAAGAGCAAGGACAAGGTTGTTCTCTTTTCAACTGTTTGATGCAAGAAAAGCTCATTTTTCTCTACTCAAGAGTTTTCAGCGTTTGTGGTTTCCATAGTTTCCAATCTCATGAAGCAGAAGCAATAGAACTGTTACATCTCTGTGCTGAAGCACCTGGCAAGTTTTTCTGCTTCTGAAGCTGTCCTACCATGTATCTGTCAAGCTGGAGATGAATATTACTGAACATCAGAGCATATTAAGAAAACTTCTGTAATATAAAACATATTTTATGACAAACCTGCAGAAGATCTTAAAAGTGTTTTAGGCATGCATTGGGTCTTCATCCTGGGAGTGGGGTAGCTTGAAACATATTACAACACTGTTTTCATGTGAGTAGAATGCAAGGCTTCATTTATTTATTTTATTTAACCTGTATGCCGCCTACACTACCCAAAGGTCTCTACCCAAAGAATAAAAAATAGAAAACAATGAAAATACAATTAAAATATATACAGTGGTGCCCCGCTTCATGACAATAATGCGTTCTGTTAAAACCGCTCTTAAGCGTAATCGTCGTCAAGCGAAAGTAAAAACCCCACTGAAATGCACTGAAAACCGGTCAGTGCATTTCAATGGGAGCAATACCTCATCATCCAGCGATGATTGCCCATAGAGAACCGCCAGTCAGCTGTTCTAATTCCCTGTAATGCGAAGCTTCCGTCCGGAAAAATGCCATTTTGCGAAGGGAGGGAAGCCATTTTGTGGAGCCGGAAAAATCATCGTTAAGTTCGCAAAGCAGTCTCCTAATTGACGTCAAGCCAAAAAAACCCATTGGAACCCTTGTTTTGCGATCACAAAAAACCCATCAAAGCGATTTCGACATCATGCGGGGTAAGCACCACTGTACTCTAAAAATTGCCATCAGGACCCACAGGTGATATTATTTCAATTAAAAGCCTTCTAGAACAGGAAAGTTTTGACCTGGTGCCGAAATGTCATCAGCATCGGTGCTAGACGAATCTCGATGGTGTTCCATAGTCTGGGGGCAGCTGCCAAAAAGGCCCTTTGTCTACAAGCCATCTCTCTTACCTCCTTTCATCTGCAGCAAGGAGTCTCTTGCCCCAGGTAAGGCTTGTATTTTAAGGGAGGTTGAAGAAGCCCACAGAACTTTCCAGTGTCCTTTCCTTCTCCTTCCAGTCAACAACACCCCATAGAAAATGTCCAGAGTATATAGAGGCTCTTCTAATCAGTTGGGTTATGGGACATGGGGCTGTTGGGAGAAGGGGAAATCTCTCCAGACCAACTAGAGAACTGCCTGAATATGGACAGTTCATCCCATATCAGCCTTTATGCCTCATGTGGCAATAATTAACAGATACCTAGGTTTAAAAGTTCTATCTCTAATACCAGTCAATGATTTTATAACCTTGATTAACCATGCCTGCTGTTTTTGAATAATAATGCGCCATCAAGTGAATTCTGACCTGTGGCAACTCTTTTCAGGGTTTACTAAGTAGAGGGTATTCAGAAGCGTTTATCCTTCCCTTCTTCTGGGGGTGCCCTAGGACTGTGCAGCTTGCCCAAGGGCACACAGGCTGGTTCATCTCCCTGCAGGCACAGGGGGTGGGGGACTGAATTCCCATCCTCTGGCTCCACAGCCAGATATGTAAACTCACTGAAGTATCAAGGTAGCTAACCCCCCCCCCTCAATCCCCCAGATAAACTTTTCAGGGAGAAGCAGGGGAGAAGAAAACTAGAGAAACTTCATCGAAGTTTATTTCTTTGACATGGATTTATTTATAGGATTCTACCTTTATATCTTAGGAACATGGTGGCGCTGCGGGCTAACCCGCAGAAGCCTGTGCTGCAGGGTCAGAAGACCAAGCAGTCGTAAGATCGAATCCACGCGACGGAGTGAGCGCCTGTCGCTTGTCCCAGCTCCCGCCAACCTAGCAGTTCGAAAGCATGTAAATGCGAGTAGATAAATAGGGACCACCTCGGTGGGAAGGTAAACAGTGTTCCGTGTATAAGCCGTGCTGGTCACGTGACCACGGAAGATTGTCTTTGGACAGACGCTGGCTCTATGGCTTGGAAATGGGGATGAGCACCCCCCCTAGAGTCGAACACGACTGGACAAAAATTGTCAAGGGGAACCTTTACCTTTACCTTTATATCTTACAAGCCTTTTTGTAAATCTTTCAAGATGCTCTTATAATGTATTATATACTAGTTAATATACTGTACATTGAATACATATTACCCTAGTATAAGTGATGTCCACAGTATTTGCATGTACACTCTCCCCAGCCTGACTCTATCCTGAGATGAAGAAGCAGAATAGGGAGCATGTAAAATTTCCGCACACGCTCATATTGTAGTCTTGACAGCAGGAAGTAGTATGGCAGGAAAAGTCCCAAAGAACAACACAGAAACAAACACAAAAATCTTCAAGAATTGCTTCTGAAAAATGTCATCCATATCTCCGAGTATTTATATACATTTATCTTATTTTTTTGACTCAAGTGTTCTTTTCATGCAGAGTTCTGCTGAACTATATTTGAGATTATTAGCTTGAATGATTAACAAACAATAGCACATAGTTTTTCCATCTGCAGCAAGGAGTTTCTTGACCCAATCCCAGTGTAATAACACTGACTTTATATATAAAGGGTGAATTCTAACTACATAGTTAGATTAGAAGCTTCTGCAGATGTATCACATTGTGTCAATTGAAATGTTCCTGGTTTTGATACTTCACATATCCTACCTGTTGATTCACAGTTCACCATTTGTCTTCCTTTTTCTCAAGATTGTATTCCTTGTGTAGCGCTCAAGGGGAAACATGGTCTTCTGTAACTTCCTGCCTTTAAAATGCTGTGCCATGAATAAATATGCCCCACACTGAAGTGCCAGCATTATTTTTTCTTATAAAACAAGGACGCTGTGCATGATTTTCTGGGTGTTGTGGGATTTGGTAAGCAATGGTGTTTATAGAAAAAGGTGTTGGAGGCTTAATTGGTTACACGTTTACAATATTTTTTGGAATTTTTATTACATATCATATTTTAGCCTTTGAATCCCTCTGTGCGTAAATATCTAACTTTATTTTTTTCTCTCTTCATGTAGGAAGCATGAATGGGAAAAACACGGAACTTGTGCAGCCGTGCTGGAATCTCTTAATTCTCAGAAAAAGTACTTCAGTAAAGCCCTGGAACTATATAAAGAAATTGATCTTAACAGGTGTGGAAAATTATTAAGGCCCCTGCAACATGCAGACCTTCTATAGCTAACATTAAGAGGGCCATCGGATCAAAGCAGAAAAAGTTCCCTGCAGGTTAGGAGTTTGAAAAACAGTGCTTGCGCAACTACTCAAGGAGAGAAAAAGTACAGAAGGAGAGGTTTGCATTGTTGCAGCGCATGTCTCTTAAGTCTGCAACTGTTAATGTTGGTTCTTTTTTTTCCTGGGGGCAGTTCAAAGTTTGGATGTACTGGAAGTTGCACATAGTAATGCAGTATCAATCCTAATTCATTCTTATCAAATGTGCCTTTTCATTGTATGGCAAGGAAAGTAGCTTCTAAGCACAAAAAAATTTAAATACAGTGGATTAGTAAATGAAATGTCATTACTCAAGAAAATAAAATGTAAATGTAGAAGCATTTATACTTGCTTGTGGAGAATGAAAATGTGAAAAGGCAGCCTGTAGAATAAAGTCTTAGTTGACAGAATCTCCTCAGCACTTCATACAGACAAGAAGTGATTAGTGGCTGATTCATGCATAATTGCCTCTAGTGAATTTCATCTTCTCAATATTAGGTGATCATACTCTCTTTCAGTTATCTTGTGAAACTGAGGATAAAGCCAGGAGGTACATACCAGGTAAGAGTACATAATTGGCTTTGCGCTGGCAGAAGTGTAATATTTTAATGTTGGTTCATGAGAGAAGATTGATCTGTTTGAATAAAAATTCTGAGTTACTGATTGTTTTCTTTAGTTTCATATGCAAAAGCATTGTATCAGGCTTTTTGAGTATGAATCCACCTAATTTATAAAAGCAGTGTTTTGCACCTTTCAACCATTTCCTGTTTCAACCTCCAGATGGCAGCCATCAGAGAAGCTCTTACAAGTGTTTACCAAGTAACACCAAAAATTCAGTGTCTTCCTCCAGATGAGGTACCTTTTTCTTTTTTATTGATGTTTTAGCATATTCTTTGTTCTCTCTTAGAAAAGCTTGTTTTTATTGTTTGGAAGCTAGTAGGCAGAATAGCCCTATTAAAACAAACTCGCCTTGTAGATTTGTGCATATTGTATTATCTTTCTAGCCTATTTTTTAACAATTTCTTAGATTTGTGAGAGGAGTGTCCTTCCCTAATTTCGTAAGTTCCACAGTTTCCTCCCCCCCAATATATATATACTCCGATTTTGAATGCTCCCTAACTGAAAGAACAGAATAGGATATGTTGATTATATTCTACTACCATCAACAGATATAAGGTCATTTCTAGGTCTAAATGGAAGTCCTGCTATTAACCTGTCTTGTAGTCACATCATGTAAAGAACACATACAGTGGCATAGCATGGCTTGCCACCACCAGGGACAAATGCTGTACCCCCCTAACCCGTGGACTTGTGCCCCTTCCTTCTCCCTCCATTCCCAATAGGAGTGCCCTCGAGGCACCCTCCTCCTCCTCCATCATCATCCCTCTTTCCCCTATCTTTCCCCGGCTCCTCCTTGCCTACCTTGCACTGGGCTCAGCCAGGATGTGGAGGGGCCCCTGCTGTGCCTCCAGCTCCCACTGCCTCCTGTAATACTCACATGGCCATGCTCTGCTCCCAGCAGGAAGATGCTGCTGGCCAGGCTCAGTATTGCCAGTAGCCCGGCACAGAAGAGGCACCACAGTGCCCAGGCCCCCTACCAGCCAGGCTCAGTATTGCCGGTAGCCTGGCACAGGAGAGGCACCACAGTGCCCAGGCCCCCTACCCCCCAATGCCATCAGCCTGGCCCGCATCCCTCCGGCTGCCCAATAGCAGCAGCAGCAGCAGGAGTAGAAACCGCACCCCTTCACCAGCCCCGCTCAGACAGAGGCTGTTGGCATGCTCTTCTTAATTGGGCAGTGTACTTTCCTTTGTCGCCTGGTGTTGTTCTTGTGTGGCTGGTTCACCCTGATTGCCAGACAGTCTCGGCAGGCAGGGAGGCTGGGGTGGGTGGGAGGGAGTTGGGAGAGAGAGAGGGGGGGGGACAAAGCCACTTGGGCCAGCCCAGTGGCAAGACAGAGCACAGGGAGTGTGAAAGGGTGAAGGTTGCACCCCTAACAAGGATGCACCCTGGAGTGACTGTTCCTCTGCCTCCCCCCCCCACTACACCACTGCCCATATATTCCTACTTGAGCCCAAAAGTCATCACCAGAGATCTTTCTCCAAGTGTCCTCATCTGCTGACATAGGATAGGGAGCAATGTGGGGCCTTTTAGAAACAGCTGCCCCACTTCTGTTGTGGAACACCCTCCTCAGAGAAGTCTATCTGATATATAACTTATCTATATGACCACAGGCAAAGACATTATTTAATTATTATCCAATCAAGATTTTTAATTACTCTATATTTCTGCTGTTATAATCTGTAGATTTATTTCTACCATATTTATAGAGATACGTTATCTGTGGTATCTGTTTACCTTGTGCTTTTTAAAATTAGTTTTATATTTTTTGCTTTATTTATATAGATCTAATTTTGTAGCATGCCATCAGGAGCGCTACTTAAATCTTAGCTATAAATGACAAATAAGATTTTAAAAAATATAAAGATGAGGAATAGTCTCAGTTTTATGGCCATCAAGATTATTTCTTTTCACAAATATCTCCCCTCATGTTACTTCTTGGAATATCTTAAATAATTTAGTATGCCCATACTGAACACAAGGACACATATAATTCAAAGCCTTTTTCTCTCTTTAGTTGGCTGTATCTGTTAGTTAAAAAGTAATTGGTGACTCAGTCAACATTCAAGCGTGAAGTACATACTTTAGTACAGGTGTTGTTTTCTTAGCTTTTGTCTATGATTTGATGCGCCTGTTGTAAAACATTTCATAATGACAGGCAGCTGCTCTTTTTATCTCATTTCCATGATCATCTCATTCTGTAAGGAGTTTGACTGTTACTCCTCCTTTACAGAAAAATGGCAGATCAAAGGCACTTGAAGAGCTTAATATTATCTGTGCTGTAAAACTAGTTTGATTTTTCACAGGAACAGGTGGTGCGGCTCTTCATTGGAGCTTACATGGTCATGCTGCAGTTTAAAACCCTTGGACTGACTCAGGATGTATGAATCCCAGTCCTCAAAACTGGTTCAAGCATATACAGGAGCCTCCATTTGCATTCTGGAAATTCTAGCTTTTCAGTTTATTTGACCAAACAGTCCCTGTCATATGGCAGATTGTTTAGAGCTGCCCAGCATTGCTTTATGTCATAAAGGGCTACTGTCTGGGAAACATGTTTTCAAAGCACAGCTGGGTACAAGGAAATTCATCATGCAATTCTCTGGCTATGGGCTTATCTTTTGAAATACATGATTAAGGAATAATTTCTTTTCAATACTTGAGCTTTCCTTCCCCTCCTTGCAGTAAAATACGGATTTGCTCTCCATTTTGTGGGCACTAGAGAGTACAGGTTGATCACTTACTTTAAAACATGTACGTGACTACATATTAGTTCTATCAGCTGTTGTTCTATTGGATCACAAAACCTATCCATTAATTTCTAGGAATGAAACGCAGTGAACACATTGCTAAGAAGTCAATGTGGATTTTAAGGGATGCTCTTTCCTTTGAAAAAAGCTTGATTTCAGACAATGCCCATCTTTTCCCCCTACAGAACAGTTGTGAGAGGTAGTCTTGAGCGAAATAATTTCATCGTATGTTCTAATCATCATCATCATCTTGTACCATCCCACCAGTTCTGACTTATAGCGACCCTTTTCAGGGTTTTCCAGCTAGAGAATACTCAGAAATGGTTTGCCGTTCCCTTCTGGGGGTGGCCCTGGGACTCTGCAGCTTGCCCAAGGCCACACAGGCTGGCTGTTCCCCTAGGAGGCATAGGGGGGAATCAAACTCTCAGTCTCTGGCTCTACAGCCTGATAAAACTGCTGAGCTATCCAGCCAGCATGGTATTTTCTGATACAGTTTAATATATGGTGTACTCTTCTATTGGCTATCCTCAGAAAATTACAACTTTTCATATAAATAGAAAGCATTAGATAATAGTATATTAGCTATTCATTTGGTTGTGCTGTTTTTATATCTGTAAATCTGTGTTTATCTAATGCATACATTAGCTCTTAAAATTTATCCATCTAGCCTTTTGTCTACAACGTGTTAAGGAGTAGTGTTTCTTTGTAAAATGTATATGTGTGTTTCCCTTTCTCAGCTACAAATGCTTACAGTGGAATCCTAAACCTGAGTCTCAATTTTTGCCCCCCTCTCTCTTTTCTACCCAGGGACAACTGCAGGTGATTGGCCAGATTAAATTCTGCCTTACCAAGGAGTTTGCCTTGATCAACTGTACAGAGTCAAAGTCTGGTTCCTCTTTTGCCCATGAAAACAATCTCTTCAAAACGGAAGACCTGTCAAAGTGCAGTGATACCCTGACAGATTATCCTTCGCATCTGCGTACTTGGGAGCACTTCTTGGCCAATACAGTCGACATTCAGTGAAACATGCACTATTGTCCAAAGGAAGAATAGCCATTTTTGCCCAAAAAGAATAATGCGAAATGTCATTTGAAACATTTAAGCCCTTCATGCTTTGGATACTGAAGCAGACTTGACAGCTCTGTAGATGGTGAAGATTCATTTCTGTAGAAAAACTCATTTTTACTTCTGCTACGAAGTACCATTATTTTTGTGTGTTGAAAGTTAAATTCATTTCAGAATTTTGTTTCATTGAACATATATCAGTGAACATTCTAATTACTGATTAGTGGTCACAGATTTTTAGGTAGTAGCTTTTGTGTATGTGTCAGAAAGGGCATGGAACATTTTTCCCCACAGAACTTGATCATTAGTAAATTTCAAGTAGTACAGGTAAAAATTGCAGGTGCAATACATACTCCTGCTTCCTTCAAGGAAAATGTGTTTCTCAAGAACTGCATCTCTGAATTGTACCTTTGGAGATACCTAGTGAACCAGTACCTCAGTGAATGGCCAGTAAGTTCATTAATGCAATAAATTTCATACGAGAGCCAGTGAATACATTAGCTTCCTAGTAATGATCATAGTTTTTTTTAAAAAAAGCAGTAACAGACCTCTTACTTTCTCCAGAGTAGTATCAGTGAATTTGTCAGAGTTGCTCTAGAATAAGCAAGTTGCTGCAGCCTGTAATTCTTATACTAGAAGAAGAAGAAGAAAAAATACTATTGATTTTGATCCTACTTTCTTTTGGATTGAACCATTTGTGGATTCTTTCTTTTCTGCGATATTTGTTAATCCTTCAGATGTTTGGTGATTTCTGGATGCCCATTCTGTTTTATCTTGATTTGATTTTTCAATTCTAGGTCTTCTATTCCATACTTAATGTTCTGTGGAAGCAATTTGCAATATTGTACCATACAGCTACCATCCCTCTATTTTGGGTGATTATTTTGAGCTTAGTTATTGAGTTGTATTTAGCTTGCTGACCTACTGTTTGGCCCTAATAAGAGAAATACAGATATTGCTCTTAAACAATGAGCATCCCAACTCTTGTTATTTATGCTAGATTTTAAAAGGTTCTGCACTGCCAATATAAATCGCAAATGGCACATATTTTGCAAAGCAAATCTTGAATCATAAAGCCTTTTCCTCTGTTTTTGAAATATGGCTTAAATATGTATGTTTTAAAGTCAGCAGAATTTCATCTATGGAGGTTAATGTTTATCAGCAAAACTAGTTGGAAAAGATTTTTCTATTTTCCTTGCACAGAATTCAATACTTTCAAATAATAGAGAGAGGTGTGCTGATGTATTTGAAGAACTGTTGTGTAGACACAGCAAACGGTTTCAGACACTCTTCATTGTGGTCATTGGTGTGTTACTTTTTTAAAAAATCAACTAGTATCAGGGGTGACTATGTAAGTAAAAAAAATTTCAGTGAAATTAACACTGTAATATGATACTGTAATCTATGCCTTAATACGAGGACCCTTCACACAAATACGGGTACTGTTTTATTTAGTATTGTGAGTGTTTTTATGAATAAATAACTATATGCATATGGTTTACTCTGGGTTTTTTCCCCCAATAAAACTGCTTCCTTTATGTTTTTCTTCAGTATATTTATTGGGTGTTCTTGTTTTTAAAATCAACAAGCACCCCAGCCCCCACCTTTTTAAAGCTCCTATTCTTTTTGGTGGGGGTTGGTGGACTCCAGTTTAGTCTGTTCCTGGAGCATGCGCTTGCTGAGAACAGACTAAAATTAAACCTGGCAGCTGTCAGAGCTGCCAGTGCTCCTTCCAGTTTCAGGTTCTAGTATTCTGAAGTGTCTTAATAAGCGAGCCACTTCAGGATATCAAGAAGAAGCTGTAGAAGAAGAAACAATAGCACACCATTAATTTTCTGGATTGCCTGTTAAGTTTCTTTCCCTATGCTCCATTCAAAATTGCATGTTCTTTTTGCAAATAATATTCCTCAGTCATATACTCTGGTTCAGACTGTGCAGGATATCACTTGGAAGAATTTTAATCAACCATGTACTATTCAACTTTGTTCTCTTATTGTCATATTAAATTATTAGGCATTACATAACTGAGCACAGGGTTATGGCATTTTCCAGAGAAAAATTTAATCTCTCTGGCAATTCATCCCCCAAATTAGAGCTTTCCTGTTCATTACACCAGCCTTTCCATCAATATTCTTTTTAAAGAAAGATTCAAAGTGCAGGTTTTGACTCCAGAATTCATGCACAAGTGAAGATGGCCAGTCCTCTTTCATGCCCCATTTGTTCACAAGTCATCTGGTGCTTTTAGCACTAAACATTAAGTGTTAGCAGCTGAGACCTAACTTGGAGGGTCACACTGTTTACACTCAGGCAGTCTACACTGTGTACCTGGTTGCACAACTGATTGTGCAGCTACAGTAGTTGCACAACTGCACCTGTGGAACTGCTTGCTGGATATGACTCAGTATGCATGTCACAACCACTTGCAGAACTTGAGTACAGCTAGGCAACAGGACTTTGGCCAACTAACTTTTGAAAATAAATATGTTAAAAGGGACATGGTGGTGCTGCGGGTTAAATCGCAGAAGCCTCTGTGCTGCAAGGTCAGAAGACCAGCAGTCGTAAGATCGAATCCATGCAACGGAGTGAGCTCCCGGCACTTGTCCCAGCTCCTGCCAGCCTAGCAGTTCAAAAGCATGTAAAGATGAGAATAAATAAATAGGCACCACCTCAGTGGGAAGGTAATGGCATTCCATGTCTAGTTGCTCTGGCCACATGACCATGGAAACTGTCTACAGACAAACGCTGGCTCTACGGCTTGGAGACGGGGATGAGCACCGTGCCCTGGAGTCGGACACGACCTGACTAAATGTCAAGAGGAACCTTTACCTTTACGTTATGTTAAAACTAAGAGGAGGGACAGTAGGGCATAATTTGCAGTGTTCTGTGGTTCTTTCCTCCCTAATTTCAGATTTTTAAAAAATAAAATATGCATTCAGGACAGACTGAATCAAAGTAAAATAAATGCAGATGGGGGGGGATTTCAACTCTTTTCTCTGTTCTTGTTTATCAGCTTAAAATTACTCTTCCCAATTTGTTGTTTTCATTCATCAAGAGAAACATGCAAAGAAGGACCTCTGTATCTTTCCCTCCAGGAGTGGCAAAGCAAGTTGGAAGGATGATCTTCAGCTGAAAAAGAGCTGCAGGAACAGATCACTTGGCCCCTCTTTCCCTGTATCTTTCTTTTCTCTATTCAACCTCATAATCTGGCTGCTTTGAGAATCTTTTCTAAAGTACAGAGGGAACAAAAGAAGAGCCCTGCTGGATGAGACCATCACAAAAATCTGTCAGGATTACACTTTGTTGCTGTATATGCTCAAGATACCAGATTATCTGGTTGTAAAACCAGGCAGAGTTCCATATTTTTTGTTTATGTTTTCCTTTTTGCTATCTGTTGCAAGTTATTATTTATTGCATAGTACTATAAATGGCCATTCCTGAATAGGTCAGTGAGCTGGATACCTGGCTACAGAGCCAGAGGCAGGGAGTTCAATTTCCTGCTTCCTCTCTTGGGAGAAGAGCCAGGTGGCATCGCCATGGGCAAGCTGCCCAGAGTGCCCCCCCCAAAAAAAGACAATGGTAAACCAATTCTGGATGCTCTCTGCCCAGAAAACCCCAAGTTGACATAAATGAGAATCAACTTGAAGGCACTTAGTTATAAACACTACAATTTAGATAATTTGTTGCAAGTGTGGTTTGCAACAAATAGTCTAAATACTGTAGCAGTGTTTCTAGTACTTTGCAACAATCAGTAATATGCAATGAATTAGAAATAAACACATACACTTACTGTTTCTTGTTCTCTTTTTTTTTGTTTGTTTGTTTCTTTCATATTATTCTGATCTAAGCCACTGAGGTTGATATATATGATGTCACCCTCCATAGCATAAAAACCAAGTGATGTAACCTAGCTTTAGAACAGGGATGGGGAAGTGTGCAGCCCTACAATTAATTGCTGAGCTGCAGCTCCCATCAGTGCCTGCCATTATTTCCAGTGTTAAAGAGTTGTACCCCATCAATATCTGGAGGGGCACATATCACTTATCCCTGCAATGGTACAATTTTACGTAGATCCAAAGAAATAAGTTCTGATGCATTCAGTGGGGTTTAGGGGGCGCTCAGACAGCAGGAAAGGCACATCAGAAAAGGTCACTTTGCAGGAGTGATCTCTCTTCAGGCAACCCTTCCCTGTGTCAGAAAAAACTCCAGACTGGACCCCAAAAGTAGCTCTACAGCTGGACCAAAAAGTCCAGCTTGGGCATAGATCAGGGTCGGGCTGGAGTGCAATGCTCCACATGTTGTGTGATCACTAGGAAATAGATCACAATTAGACACCTAGAGTAGACTTGTGTCTAGATGGGCGGGGTATAAAATTAATAAATAAATAAATAAAATTACTGTAACTGCTCCATAAGTGGTCCAAAATGCAACCTATTTCCTTGTCTGATCGCACTCTTACTTACAGGAAAATATGCATAAGTTTGCAGACTAAAGGGGAAATCAGACAGAGAAACAGCTTGTGTTTTTGGATTGCTTATGTCTCAGTCCAGTGTAAGCTATTTTCCAATTATTGAATAACTTGCAGGGGATTGCAAACCAGCCTGACTCAGCTCCATGTCCAAACCAGACTCTTTTGACCCAGCGGCAAGGCTACTTCTTTTTTAGAGATGGACAGGATTGATTCCTTAGAAATCAACATCAGTGAGGAGATCCTTTCCAAACCATGGTCCGACACACACACACACACACACACACACAGCTTCTGCATGAGCATATAACCTTTCAGTTTCCTGTGCGTTAGACATGGTAATAATGGATGTCACTTGGGAGCAAGCTAATGACAGCCTTCACCTTGCAAGATATCCAGAGACCCATTACATTTAATAATAGGCAGAAAACCACCTGTATCTGAATTGCAGGTATTTACTGTATTATAGTGCAGATAAGGCTTGGAGCAGTTACAAATCTTCAGTTTCCTTACTGTTAAGGGCAGGGTTTTTTTTCCAGTGGATGTTGAAATAATATTTGTCACCACTGAATGTTTGACATCTTGTCAAAGCCAGGTAGTATATTTCCATAGCAGATACATGGCGCAGCCAGCTTCCTGCTGGAATATTCTAGCTATAAAATACACTTTTTATTTCACTGGAACACTATGAAATGTAGCAAAGATGTATTCTTAGAAGATTGATTAGTGGTAGACTTCTAATTTGAGAAGTAGAAAAAAATCCAATAAATGACATCAAGCACTTAAGCTAATTCATATTATGTATCAAACCACAAACCACTGCAGATGGGACACCATCCCCCTACTGTATCTGAGGATAGCTGTTTAGGGCAGAGATGTGGAACCTTTGACACTCCATCTGTTCTGGACAACATCCACAGTCTTTCATCACTGCAATACAGGCTGGGGATTCTAAAAGATGTAGTCTAAAAATATCTGGAGTGCCAAAGGTTCACCACCCCTAGTTTAGAGGCTACAGGGCATATACAGCTTTTTATCCTCAAAGGCCTCTATGCTGCTCCTGCTGAGGTTGCTCTCCTCTCACTCAACTGAATGGCCACCTCGCCATAGCAGTAGGACTGCTCTGCATCTTGGGTTGATACTGCATGAAAATATCACCTACCCCCCCATACATGTATATAGAGCCCAGCACAAGGGGTGTGTCTGTGTACAGGGGGAAGGCAACACCTGGGTGCCCTCTTTTCCATGGATCTCATTTTTTCCCCTCTTGGATCATTGGTATTTGCTTAAGAGCAGTGTATACAACTCCTAAGAAAGGAAACAACTACAGTCACCTGAATTCACCCCTCTCCACCTAGTACACCCATGTCATTCTGGGCGTGATTGGGCATGTGGTGGTTTATACCCAAACTCAGAAGCAAGAAGGAACGGGAGAATGTTGGGCTTGTCCACACAGTGGTATTTTCTCTCGGTTTTTCTAGGGCTGTTCTGAGTCATTCCGTTGTAATCATCACCACAATCATCTGCACTACCATCATCTTAGAACTGCAGAGTTGGAAGGGACCCTATGGCTCACCAAGTCCAGCATTTATCAAGGAGGCATTGGGGGGCGGGTTTGAACTGCTATAGCTGTTCTTGCAGATTTGAAGAGATCATCCCAGTATCTGGTTGCATATATGGGGAGGGTATTTGTTGCTGGATATACTGGGGTGCAGTGGGTTATCCTGATACCACCTGGCCATACACATCCAGAATTGCTCCCTGATGTCTTGCTCCAAATAAAGATTGCCCTCCCCTTTTCCCTATCTTCTCTGACCTTTTTCCCCCACCTGCTTTACTCTGTCCTCCCTTCCCTCCTTATTTTATGCGTCCATGGGGTGTGATGGGTAGAGACTGACCAACCAAATAATGCCCATAAGGAAACATGATTAGACAACAGCCACCCACATGGATGGCAAGTGCATGGACCAGGATGGAACAAAGCAGTGCTAGGGTCCACTTCAGCAGAATTTGCACTGGAGCCAATCAGAACCAAAATGTATCACAACCTAGGAGTGGTGTAACAAAACCTAG